GGGTTTTGATCCTGAAATTAAAAGCATTCGGTTTCACAAACAACATACTTGATTTCTTTCACTGATATCTATCCAACACAATACAGTTCGTACAGTTCCGCAGGGCTCGATTTTGGGACCTCTCCTTTTCGTGTTATTTAATGACGTTTCTCGGTATATCCGGCATTCTCAATTTCTCCTATGTGCCGATGATCTCAAGCTTCAAGATGATCTCAATTATCTATCTACTTACTTTTGAGTATCTGACCTATCTCTCGACGAAGCTAAATGCAAAATAATGAGTTTCACACGAAGGAAGTCACCCACTATCAAGGGCTATTTCATTAATCATACCAATTAACAGAGAATCAATGATATGAAAGATTTCGGGATCACTTTTACTGGTGTGTTCAGTTTCTCTCGGCACATTGAATACTTAGTATCCGAATGTTACAGAGTTTTGTCTTAAGATTTAGCCGCGAATTCAATCACGATACTTGTTTGTTACTCTTTAACTCCAAAGTTCGTTCTAAGCTGGAATGTGGTTGTGTTATTTGGTATTCAAAGACCTTTTTATACTCTGATAGTATAGAAAAAGTCCAGAAACGATTATTAAAAATACTCTTTTTCAGGAAACACGATGTCTGGCCCTTATTTATATCTTACTCTAGCCAATTACTAGAATTTAGTACGCAACCATTGAAAGACCGCCTTGAGTCCTCGGAAGTGATTTTTGTTTTCAACATTCTTAGAGAACTGAAAGTACCTGAAATTCTCTATTGTACCTGACGTAAAACTGAGAAGAAGAGACAATCTATTTCGCGTCTCAAACAATTTGTCTCCTCTTCAACAATGTCTCGAAACCGTTACCAAAATGGCGAGGAACTGCAAACTGGATGAATTCAGTATTACAGAGTGACAACTCCTTCGAATGCTCTACTGTGTGTAAATTTTTTTACGGCCATTTTATTATTTATTGTTTTATATTGTTATATTTTATATCGATTTTTAACTGTATCAATGGTACTCAATGAATACTATATGTAAGGAACTTTAAAAAAAACTGTACATCATGNCCTTCGAAACACAACCAATGAATATTGACGATTTAACCCAAAAAATTTTAGAGGCTTGTCATACCGTTACTCCGGAAATGATTAGGGCTTCCTGTACTCGCGCGCTGATTCGGCGACTTGAAGCATGTGTGGCAAGTGCTGGCCAACATTTTGAACATTTTCTGTAGTATCATGTATCAAAATACAGATGACCTTAAACATTAATATTTCATTTGTGTTTTTATTTTCTATGATTCTGCATGTCATTCTACCTACCATGATACATCATTGACCGAGAAATGAAAAAGACTGTAAGTTGAACCAAAACAAACATGGGCGTGCCATTTGAAAAACAAAAGTTAGGGGTGGTTTCTTGGGGGTTGTTTACCAGGGGGTGGATTTTGCTATGCTGCATGAAAGTGCTTGTGTTCTCCTATGATACATATTTTTGTTTTAATTTTTGTTCTGCAGGTAACTGAGATATCTGCTGGCCTAAAAGCTGTGGGACACCCGGTATACGAGTTATAGTCTCTCTAATTGAAAAATAATGATGACTTCCATTTTAATGTGCAAGATTTTTTCTAATACTTGGGAGCCATCTGATTGTTACACAGCGTACAGTTAAGGTCTCCGTTGTACAGTCCTACTTTGTTCATGTGTCCTCTCAATGGACAGTGCCAAGTGATAGTCCAGTAATTGCCAATCCCTGCGTCGTTGAAGCAGTTCTTAGTTCTCTTCTTGGACGATCCCTTCATAAAGGTTTTCCTTTGTGTTCCCTTTGGAAAAATATACCCGGGAACATGAGGGGACCGCTCGAGAAGAAAACTGAAAAACTGCTTCAACAACGCAGGGATTAGCTCAAAACAATTACAGGACTACTTACTAGACACTGTCTATTGAGAGAACTCCTGAACAAAGAAGGGCTGTACAGCTGAGACCTCAGCTGCAGGAAATGCAACAAAGTGACAGAGACAACACTGAATGACAGGAGACAAACAATTGATGGACGGCCCAAGTTATATCAAGAAGAATATTACATACATCCAGCAATGGACTTGTACGAACCAGTACAGAGAATGAGACTGTGTTATGGAAAAGATGGAGGAAGAACGCAATGTGCCCATGAGGCTGCATATTAAAACAAGTCAGACGTCTCCCAGGTGGAAAAAAGCCCCGTAATTGTTCTGAGCTTAGCCTGCTTTGTTGAAGTAGTTCATTTCTATTAACGTACAGTCCCTTATCCCGTGTGTGTTCCTGGATATGTTTTCCTAGTACTCTTTATGTTTCTCATTACCCAGTCTGGTTCCGTAACAGAGATTTTGGTATTTCCACATCTGGTTCAGCGCCTGAACACGGAGTTGATGATCTGGGTCTGGCACATTTACCAGATGTCACTTTTGGATTCATCAGTGCCTGGTTATCTGAAAATATTCTACCTGTCTTGAGTTGACTACCCATTGTCCTCTCTTCAAGGTTTGAGACTTTAACCATAAAGTTTGTGTCGACATGTGAGTCGATGTCGCGTACTCTGAGAACATGTTGGATGTTCGTTCCTCCACATATTACGAAATTTCTGTTTCACCCGATCCCAAGGAACTGGATGAGTTTTCCAGTTTGAATTGCTAGCCCCTTCGTCCCCCATTATCACTATATGTAATGGAGAAAGATTCAAGAGAGTCTCTAATGCAGGTGTAGTAGTAGTTTTCATTGTTCCCGCTTTTGCAACGTGCTCTACATGGTGGTGAGCCAATATATCATGTCTGCTTCTGTAGGTGCGTCTGGCCAAAAGCCGCCTTTCTTATCAATCTTTCTAGATGTTGCCCCCGGTCAGCCTGGGATCTGGCACACTCTCAGATGTATTTCTTCACCTCGAAGTTTGAGAGTTCAAAGGCACCCCTGTTTTGGTTCTCTATGATCGAATTCATCGTCTTGTGTTACCTTAGAGTAGGATAAGTCGTCTGCTTAGCCCAGTACCTACTTTGTTTCCATTATGACACATGAAACTTGACATGTATAAGTAATTTTTCATAGAGAAGGTTTCAAGGCTATTAATTTTTTTCTAACTCGCCACTAGATGGCGCCGTAGAACAATTTTTTAAAAGCACTGTTCTATAACGATGCGCACGCCTAAGTTCGTTAATTCTGATTCTGTCAAAACATCATTGGTCCTTCTCGAGATCAATAATCAGCTAAAAGGGTAAGGGAGCTGGACTCCATCCCGATTGAAATCAAGACGACGAACAGGCTGTCAAAACAATGGAACAGCAGCGATACAGCAATATAGTACTAGTATTATATAAAGTGATTTGAAATCTCTGAAAGAACCATCATCCTCTCCACATACCATTTATCTGTACCAAATCTCGTTTTGATACACCTAATAGTCTAGAAGTTATGACTTGTCTAATAGATTCGTTGACACCCGGTATAGGTCCTGAACCAGCTCTGGGGGTACCAAAATCATTGGTATGAAACCAGATTAGGCCATGGACCAATAAGAATGACAGAGGACCAATAAGAAGCACAGAGAACTGGACAAAAGTACCTGGCAACAAACACAGTAGAACCTTCATTAGGAAACCGTCTGAGAAAGGAACCAAAGAACTACTTCAATATAGTAGGGATAGGCTCAGAATAATTACAGGGTTACTAACCAGTCATTGTCCGCTTAGAGGACACCTGAATAAAATGGGGCTGTACAACGGAGACCTCCGCTGCAGATTATGCAACGAAAGGATAGAAACAGCTCTACATATCTTATGCGAATGTGAGGCACTGAATCACAGGAGGCAGGCAATATATGGACGAACAAAATTACGTCCAGAAGAATATGACGAACACCCAACATGAAACCTGTACAAACTAGTACAGGGAACGAGACTGATGGAATGGATGTCATGAGAAAATGGGAGAATAAACGCAATAAGCCCAAGAGGCTGCAGTGTTTTCTGGAGACTTGGACTAAATGGACAAGTCAGACAGCTCCCAAGGGACAAAAAAAGGCGTTGTTGGGACTGGTGATAGGTGAATTACTAATAACACGCCCAGCGTTTATCAACAATAAAATTTATTAACAACAAAACACAACGACAAACAAAACACGGAAAAGAAAATTACAGGGTAACTTCGAGGAACTAACGCTAACTTTTTTCTCGATCAGCGAGGACACTCTAGAGCAGGTTTAGTTCTCGGCGGAAACCCCAGAATGAGAAATAGTTCCCGTCCGAAATCCCAGAACAGAATGAATGCATCGGCTAAGAAATGTATTCGAAGTAAGTCTCAAAAAATCATCACTGACAATGGTCGGGGTAATAAATATAGTCAAGAAGGATTAACCACTTGTGCCCGAATTTTTTCTCCAAATCCCTAATCCATAAGAGCGTTAACAATGAGTATCTACTCGAAACATCCAAAGTGGTGTCGTTTTAAATATTCATCTGTTTTTCGGCAATAAACTTTCGATTCGAGAGATGAGAGCTTTTCAACGATATACGATGAGAAAATACGAAAATGATATGTAAAAATTGAAATAAAAGAATTAAACTCGGCCACCGTATTCTCCAGATTTGCCCCCTGCGACTTTTTCCTGTATCCAAGATTGAAGAGACCCATGAAAGGACATCTTTTTGCGACGATTGAGGAGATAAAGACCGAATTGCCGAGAGAGCTCAAGAACACACCAAAATGTACATATTATAACTGTTTCGAGGATTGGATAAAACGATGGCACAAGTGTAATATTTCTGAATGGAACTACTTTGAAGGGGACAAAATAGAAATTGATGAATGAATAAATATATTTTGAGAAAAATGAAAATTCACCTTATTCTTATTTCACACCTCGTATGTATTTGCTAAAAAATCCTACCAAACTAGAGACGCAGCTACTGTGTTTAATGTGTTATTGGAAATAATCGAACGTCACTCCAACACCCCTACCGAAACACAGATAAGAAAACTTCTCACCGTTATCTAGATCGGGATCGTCTATGTCGCAGGTTCTGAAAATGTATCTTTTGCACAGCCCTCGTATGCCTGGCGCCGAGAAGCAGCAGAACAGGACGATAATCAGCAGGACTGCTATCATGACGATGAGAGTGGCAGTGCCTTGGTCGCTTGGAACGGGGGTATTGGATGACTTTCCCGAAGGACCTGGGGAAAAAATCACATTTGATATATTATTATTATCATTATCATCGAATTCGGTCATTTCATTTCCCGTATATCAAGTTAGCGAGACACTTTTCAAAACGTGGAAACTGTATATTAGGGATTTCAAAAGAATTAACAAAAGATAAAAATAGAAACAAAAACACAACAATACATTTTTGTTGTTGTTGAGTTTTTCAGTACTTTGAGTGTTCCATTAGTTTACCCTAATTGCTCGATAGTTAGTTGTGAATTAAAATCATCATTTATTTAAATGCGTAGTGCCTCAATGACGACGTTTCGAACTATATGCAATGTAATGCAAGGACATACATCTCATTCAGTAATCAAAGCAATCGGAACAGATCTGTTTTTTTTTGTAGTGATGCCAATTTGAAAGTAATTACTGCATTCGCGATTATTTCCATCCACTTGAAGTAAAACTAGAGTATTCACCATTTGTCGTGAGAATTTGAAGAGTGAATTATTTCTGTAATTGAGAATAGAAACGATGTAGTTGGTATTTGTAAGATATATTTCTAGATTACATTTTGTAGCATTATTTACAATTGACCTGCTTTGACAACGTCGCATTTCGGTGGTCGTCAGTACTGAATGACCGTTATTGAATGATATAGACAGATTATTCTACAACTATAAGTATTAATTGTAATAGAGTCAACTGTTCAAAACTTATTATTCAACCATAGTCAGATACAAAACAAATCTAAACAGTATTATGTTATATAGTTTGACAGAGCGCAATGAAATGAATTGTGATTTATGAGTTGGTACTGGAAATTGCGTTTTATGTTATTTTGACATATGACACAAGTGACAGATAAGATAAACTGTCATAATTCAGAACTGTCAAATGATATGTGTGCTATGCTTTTGTGGGTTGGAGTTTTAAAGCTTTTTAAACGAGTTATCACTAGATATCTTTTTGTAGTCAACATTTTTTATGAAGTTGCTCCTGGGGTAGAGCGGAAAACGAGGCTTATTGGTTTGAAAGATCTATTGATGCGATTACGTGTGAAATCTAACATTGTTCAAATGTCCGCCACGACTTCTCTGGGTGGAGCGCATCCGAAACGTATAATTTTCCATGACTCTGGCGCATGTATCAGGCTGAATTTGACCGATGGCATGACTTATGTTGGCTTTCAGAACCGCTTTGATTTGACATATTTCAGAGGCGTGCTGTTCTGTTTACTCATGTTCCGAGTTCCGAGACATTCTGTGACATATGACATTTTGTGCACCTAACCTATCTTCCTCTATATAAATAAATAACAAAACAACTGTTGTTTATGTGACTTGTGGAGGTGGTATTGAACTATAATTAATATTTTGCCTTAATTGTTGATTTATAAAGATAATTTTCCTTTTTTAAAATAGAATATCTAGGTACGTATGAATTATTTCAACTTGATATAGGCGCTGTTGCCAATATGTGAATTAGAAACCAATCCCTTTAAAAATTAAAACCCAACATTTGAAACATCAATTTGAATACTTTTCGAAGTAAATTTGGAAAACTCATGAATTAAACTCAATTTTATTTTGTTCAAACTTGCATTTGCTATAATAACCCAAATTGAGGAACATTCCCCATTGCAAAGGCTGCTTCCCAAAAGCTTGGAACATTGTTCCGAACCACATGTCGTTTTGTGTTGGTGTTGTCTCGTGAATTTGTTGTTACAATGTTTTTTATTTTTCAAATATGTATCTTATATGTCAGATGAGTTTCAAAATAGTAATATTATCAACACAAAAAAACTAATTTTCGAGCTCTGAAGAAGAATTTAATTAAATTCGAAACGTCGGCAAGAATACAATTGTTTTTTAAAGAAAAAATTGATCCTGTTATCCAACCAACCCCTTTACCCGAATAATGTTTTCATTAGTTTGAAGAATACATTTTATTTTTTATATTTTTGTGAATGTGAATTCCTTTCGGGTATTTTTAAATTTTGTATAGTGAATATAGTTTTTTCTGAAATGATCATCGGTTACATCTGTCAACATTGCAGTTTTTTAAGGTCACTGAATCAGATTGGGCCGTGCGAGGATTTTCATTAATGTTTGAATAAAATACAAGTATTCGAGTATTTTGTGCAATTTCTGGTTCTCTGACAAGAAATATAAAAATGAAATATGTCGGCGGAACGTCCTGCAGTGATTTTTCTCACCCAAGATCTAAATCAAGCGTGGTCTCGATTAACATTTATATTCACGACACCTACCTATTCACTTTTGGAATTCCGCTCCGAGGTTTATATACATCATTTTATTTTCTCGTAATTTTATTTAAGAACCACTCAATCACTGTCAGCACAAAACGAATAAATGAGTTGATGTCGACCTATTTTTAGTTCAACATTAGGTGTTTCGGATGAGTTATATACGTTCTTGAAAATATCGGTTATTACTTTTTATTAGGACTACCGGCTCTAAAGAAAATAATCTAACTTAATTGATTGTGCTTTCAGTTTATATAAAGTTTAGGCCGTGTAACGAATTGATTTTTAGATTTATGAGAACACAGTGGTGGAAAAAATCATCGTTACTGTGCCTACATTTATAACAGGGTCTAACATAAATACATTAAAATATTCAAGTGACGTATTCCTGCGACAATTTTGAGAAAAAAACCTATATAATCATGTCCGGAAATGCTTCTTTTCGGAAATACTAGGTGTTGAAAGTGAACTTTTTTGTTCGTTTTTTAAAAATAACTTTTGCAAAAAATAAGTTATTTGCACGAAATTTAGAACTCGGATTTTTTTGACGTGGGAAATCACAATTTCGTATTAATTTTCTTGTAACATCTATAGGGCGCTCCATACGCTGTCATTATTTATTTCAAATTGCTCTAACTTTTTTGACAGTAAACTTTTGGTACTATTTGTAAAAAAAAACCTAATTCTCACACCATTTCCAAGTAAAAGAGGTACACTTCCTCAACAATGCTAGAGGTGATCGTTTTCGAGACATTTACAATTTTCTATATCGATGCATATCACTTAGCTCCTAGGGTGATGAGTGAAGTTGCTGAGAACATTACAAAAACTAAGTATGTGGTGGATCTTGTCCTTTACACAGCATATCTTAAAATCAGCAATGCCACTTCGCTTGGCGGGAGAAGTTCGCGCATATCCGGCGCGTTGATGAGTCCGCCATTTTGAGAAGTGACAGACTTCCTCATTCTGCTTTTGGCTTTGCTCTTGTTAGAGTGTATATGTTACCTGTGTTTTGTGCGTTTCGTGAAATTTAACTTTTAACATAATGGAAAAACTAATAGGTGGTGGACACGTTTGTGCTGTGAATAGTTGTAAAAGTAACAGTTCAAAATAAGTTTTTTCATGTTTCCGAAGGACCAAGAGAGATAAGAACATTCTCCACTAAGTTGATATCTGTTTTCATAGAACCTACCTATTGTTTTTGTAAACAGCAACATTGCTATTGCAGAAATACTCAATGCTTTCACAACAGAATTTCTTCATTGTCTTAATTCCTTTAGAATATATAATCTCTCAAATAATGATTTTCACAGGAGTAGCTGTGAGAGAAATATATTTTTCAAAGCCATTTACAAATTTATAGACCCCATGTATGGCTTTCTATTTCATTGAGTGAAGAAGTTTCATTTGTAACGTGCACCAATAATATATTTGCCAATCAACAATATGGGATTTCATTAAATTAATTAATTAATCAAGGAGAACATCAATTCTTATAATAAAGAACAAGAAATTCAACTGAAAGGTAAATTAGTAATAAACACAATAACATTTATTTTAAGAGAGGTAGATCATAAAGTTTATACCAGAAAGTTGATTGCTGGACAATGTCTCCTTCATATTCCAGTTGATTGTATTCCTACTGATGATTTTAGAAATAATTCGGTTGTTTTGACATTAAAAAAAAAAACATGTAACCAGATAGAATGTCAGCACAAGAATTATTATATCAATTGAATTTGAGTCCATTCCGTAAGGTAAATCAAAATTATATTATATGAGCGTTTTGGATATATAAAAGTTTGAGTGCGAACCTGTCCAAAACCATTTCGCTAGTCCTGCCCTCTTAACGTCACTTCTCAAAATGGCGTCTAGATACTTTTCCACATCAGAGGCGGCATGGCCAAGTGTCCATGCTGATTGTTAACTCTGTGTCCTTTATTTTCAAACGACATAAAGCTTTAATAACTTCGAATTATATACTTGATAATGGGGTCAAACCCGAAACCTGTCGTATAAATAAAATTTACTAGTGGTATTTAGACAAAAGTCATCAATCACACATATTCAATAACACTTCTAATTATCATATGCGAGCGCTTTCGATAGCAGACTGTGTTATCATCTTTATCGCTCTACTCAAATTGAACGTTTTATCTTCTTGTTTGTTCTTTTATACGGTTAGAACGCCTTAGTGCAGGTATTTGTCATCTCCTTTCATCCGGATGTCTCTTTAAATTTGCCTGTACATCATTACATCAGGTAATATCCTTTGTGTTGGTGTTTCTCTAGGTTCATTGTTTCTAGGAATGTGTATTGTTTTGTATATTGAATATTAGGTCTTATTGTGTTTTGATTTGCATTTTTGCTCGATAAGTGAATTATGACTTTTGAATGTATGGATGTTTAGGTTTTTCCAGATGTTCAAACGGTTTCCTTCATTGACCTGTTTTATGAGTTTGATATTTTCTGGTGGGGGAAAATTATGTTTGTTTTGTTTGGCGTGTGTTACGAGGTTTGATTTATATGTTATCGGGTTTATGTATGCTTTTTTGTGTTCGTTGTACCTTTGGATCAGTTTTTTCTAGGTTTGGCCGATATAGAATTTGGTGCAGTCCGAGCATTGTATGCTGTAGGTACACTCCGTTTAGGTTTTCGTCTTCTTCTTTTTCATGGCTGTTTATTTTTTGTGTTATTTTCGTGGTCGGCTTGTAAGTGATGTTGATGTTCAAGAGTTTGAAGATGTTTGTTAATTTT